TTCACGACAATTTCTATCTTATATAAGAAATTGAAACTCTTTTTGACCCGTATGATTTTTTTTTAATTAAAATAATTTTCAACTGCACTTTCTGCATGATAAATTAATGGGAGGGCCTATCTCATCAGTGGTGAACCCTCTCAGCGGTTTCACCAGTTTAATCTGGCATACTGCTGTATTATTGTATTGGGCTTGTTTGTCATAAATGAATCTTTAATTCGACGATGTATTATATATTAAATATAGTTTTGTCTCTTTTATTTTATTCTTAGTCAATCAATATATGGAACTCTGGTTTTCATCTTGAATCACCAGATCTTGCCTAGATCGTAAGTCCAAGCGTCCGTTGAGACAAGTGTAAACCAGGACTGAGTCCAGACAAGTTCAAAGTGAGGCCCAAGCGTCCGTTGACTGAGTCCAGACAAGATCAAAGTGAGGTACAAGCGTCCGTTGATTGAGTCCAGACAAGTTCAAAGTGAGGCCCAAGCGTCCGTTGACTGAGTCCAGACAAGTTCAAAGTGAGGCCCAAGCGTCCGTTGACTGAGTCCAGACAAGATCAAAGTGAGGTACAAGCGTCCGTTGATTGAGTCCAGACAAGTTCAAAGTGAGGCCCAAGCGTCCGTTGACTGAGTCCAGACAAGTTCAAAGTGAGGTCCAAGCGTCCGTTGACTGAGTCCAGACAAGTTCAAAGTGAGGCCCAAGCGTCCGTTGATTGAGTCCAGACAAGTTCAAAGTGAGGTCCAAGCGTCCGTTGACTGAGTCCAGACAAGTTCAAAGTGAGGTACAAGCGTCCGTTGACTGAGTCCAGACAAGTTCAAAGTGAGGTCCAAGCGTCCGTTGACTGAGTCCAGACAAGTTCAAAGTGAGGTCCAAGCGTCCGTTGACTTAGTCCAGACAAGTTCAAAGTGAGGTACAAGCGTCCGTTGACTGAGTCCAGACAAGTTCAAAGTGAGGACCAAGCGTCCGTTGACTTAGTCCAGACAAGTTCAAAGTGAGGTCCAAGCGTCCGTTGACTGAGTCCAGACAAGTTCAAAGTGAGGTCCAAGCGTCCGTTGACTGAGTCCAGACAAGTTCAAAGTGAGGTCCAAGCGTCTGTTGACTGAGTCCAGACAAGTTCAAAGTAAGGTCCAAGCGTCCGTTGACTGAGTCCAGACAAGTGGCGGAAGACCGAGGATGTCACCAAGCATGGCACAAACGGGTTTATTTTCCGCATCCGACCACGTCACGACACGAAAAAAATATTTTCTACCTCACAGCACGCCGCTGGGTTTCCGGCGTCTTTTTACCGTTGTTTGGTCCTTGACATTTGGCCGGTTCTTGGTGGTGTTGTGCTTGTTCTCAACTGGTGTTTGTTCTCTTTTTGATGTGTGCTTGTTCTCAACTTGTGTTTGTTCTCTTTGTGGTATGCTTGTTCTCAATTTGTGTTTGTTCTTTGTCGTGCACATGATCTCAACTTGTGTTTTTTTCTCTTTTTGGTGTGCTTTTTCTCAATTTGTGTTTGTTCTTGCGGTGCACTTTTCTCAATTTGTGTTTGTTCTTCCAGTGCACTTTTTTCAATTTGTGTTTGTTCTTGCGGTGCACTTTTTCTAAACTTGTGTTTGTTCTTGCGGTGCACTTTACTCAATTTGTGTTTGCTCTTACAGTGCACTTTTTCTCAATTTGTGTTTGTTCTTGCGGTGCACTTTTTCTCAATTTGTGTTTGTTCTTGCGGTGCACTTTTTCTCAATTTGTGTTTGCTCTTGCGGTGCACTTTTTCTCAATTTGTGTTTGTTCTTGCGGTGCACTTTTTCTCAACTTGTGTTTGTTCTTGCGGTGCACTTTTTCTCAACTTGTGTTTGTTCTTGCAGTGCACTTTTTCTCAATTTGTGTTTGTTCTTGCGGTGCACTTTTTCTCAATTTGTGTTTGTTCTTGAGGCTCACTTGTTCTCAACTTGTCTTTGTTATCTTTATGGTACGCTTGTTTTCCACTTGTGTGTTCTTGGTGGTATTGTGATTATATTTTCAACTTGTGTGTTTTGATGTAATATTTGTTAATCACTTGTTTTATTCTCGATATTGTGCTTGTTCATTATTTATATCTTGGTAGGCTTGTTCTTTACTTGTGTGTGCTCTGGATATTGTGATCGTTTCTATGTATTATTGACACTTTTCTTTACATGTGTGATCTTATGTGTTTTCTTTGTTTCTGTGTTTGCTATTTACTTTGTAATCTTGGTACTTTGCTTTCTTCTACTTAGGTATTTCTGATGATGGTCTTCATGTGATATACAAGAGATTCAAGCAATCTTTCAAATCTACCAAAGAGGTGTTTTGATGGTAAAGCGGCTCTTGTGCGCTCTTGGTGTTTTTCTTTTATTCGTCTTCATGATATGTGTTTTCTTTTCTCGTGTTTTCCTGATATCCTTCGTCTTGTTCTATACTTTTGGGTTCATGGAATTGAGTTTTTTCTTGTTTGTGTTGTTATTAATAGTGATATTGTTCTTGTGTGCTTGTGTTAGCTTGTACGTATGTGTTATTGCTACATTAATCTTATATACTTATGTGTTTTCTAGATACTTTAAACTTGTAGGTGTGTGTTCTTGTGAGATTAAGCATGTTATTTACTAATATTTATCTAATAAAATAAAAAAATATTACCGATTTTTAAGGCCAAATCTCAATTATATGATAATAAATATTTGGTCCCGTGTATGGTGTTAAATCAGGAACTCGAGTGTAAACTGTGAAGGCATTTACCATTTCCTAACAAACCTAATACTTACGACATAGCCAATAATGTACTGATTATATGTAATTACAGGTTCCTGAAAGTCCCACAGGTCTCGCAACCTGTTGTTGAAAGTAAGCATTTAAGTTACGTTCCATTAAACTGGTTCAATCAAATTAAAATAGCCATGTTGAATTTTGGATGTAAATTGATCCTGAAGAAAGAAAACTTACCTTTCTTATCAGTATACACTCATGGACAAAACTTAAGGAAGTTGTACCTTTTAGCATGTATATCGGGATTGAGACAATAACTCTGAAAGATACACTCATAGACAAAACTTAAGGAAGTTGTGCCTTTTAGCATGTATTTCGGGATTGAGACAATAACTCTGAAAGATACACTCATGGACAAAACTTAAGGAAGTTGTACCTTTTAGCATGTATATCGGGATTCAGACAATAACTCTGAAAGATACACTCATGGACAAAACTTAAGGAAGTTGTAGCTTTTACCATGCATATCGGGATTGAGACAATAACTCTGAAAGATACACTCATGAACAAAACTTAAATCCAAAAGACAAAAAACCTCTCGCAATCATGATTGCGAGAGGTTTTTTGTCTTTTGGATTTAATTTTATGCGCAAGTTTTTTGATCTTAGAACAAAACTTAAGGAAGTTGTACCTTTTACCATGTATATCGGGATCGAGACAATAACTCTGAGAGATACACTCATGGAGAAAACTTAAGGAAGTTGTACCTTTTAGCATGTATATCGGGATTCAGACAATAACTCTGAAAAATACCTCCATGAATAAAACTTAAGGAAGTTGTACCTTTTAGCATGTATATCGGGATTGAGACATTAACTCTGAAAGATATTACCGTGACCTTTATTGAAGACACATGAGATAACCAAGTGTGAACAACCTCTGTCTCCTTAAAAAAAAAATGGACGACCGGCGACATCAAAGATTTTTAACTTCCCTAAGTTTTGTTCATGAGTGTGTATAGTTAATAAATGAAACTTATTATCAAAGGAAATTCTTATTTTTAAAAATACAAATTGTTCGTTAATATGCAAATATTCATATACAGTTATATTAAAGAGGAAAATATTTTTCACTCTGTTATTTAAAATGATAATATAAAAATGAATTGTATGGCCACATTGGCAAACCAATCTCTCATCTTCTTGTTTGCCATCAGAAAGGTGAAGCCAGAATACCAAAGTTCCACATACTTTTTTTGCCCTAATGTTGCTATAAATCAGAATTCATCTCCATTTTCTTTAGACAATGAACCAATTTGTCTCGATGCAACAAGCGTATTTCTAAAGAAGAGCAAAAGATAATGACCATCATGTTTTATAGACTAGACGTGGGTTGTAAAGAACAGTTTTATTCTTCTGTGAATATATATTTTCTATATTTATTTATTTTTGACTAAATTATATGCTAAGACAAATAATTTATTTGAAAAATAGTCAGGATAATTGCAAAATTTTTTTTCTTCTTCTTCACTAAAGTGAACGTGGGTTGTAACGATGAATTATGGAAGTTTCTCTGTGAAATTATTTATTAAAATTTGACCAAATATATGGACAATTCTTTGTGTGCGTGTGTGGAAATTTATAAAAGTAATTTACGATTGAATTTCATGGTAAAAAGACGTGCGCTATAAATTTTTAGTTATTAATATTAGTGATTTTTTAAATGATTTATTATATTTGACCAAAATATATGATGTTATGAAAAGAATGAATGGGTTGGTGGATGAGATGTATAAGTCGTCAGTTTTTGATAGCCACAATCAGGGATCGAGTCCCGCATCAGACACTTTTTTTTTCTACGTTGTAAGATTATAAATTCAAAAGGAGCTTCTCCTATAAAACATGTTTATTTCGCTAGCTTTCGAAAGACATCGTTCTTCAACGGGGGAAAACTTGTCTTTACGCCCTTTGAAGAAAGAATAAACATGTTCTATAGAAGAAGCTCCTTTTGAGTTTATAATCTAACACATGGCATCTGCCCGTAAGCAGAACACTGTGGGTTCGATTCCCATCCATGGACACTTTTATTTTTCTGTTTATCAATATTCTTCACAATTCATCCTTTCATACTTCATCCCTAAGGTTAGAAATAATCGTTATTTCTCTTCAAAATAAATTTCGATTTTTCGTTCAAAAGAAACATTTGCGGTATAATTGTCAAATTTCGTTCTACAATCATAAGCCGCATTATATTGTATTATAAATTACTTCATATAATATTTACGAACGGAAAAATATGTTCAGGTTAGCCTAGTGGACATGGCATCTGCCCGGTAAGCGGAACACTGTGGGTTCGATTCTCATCCATGGACACTTTATTTTCCGTTTATCATTACTCTTCACAATTCATCCTTTCATACTTCATTCCTAAGGTTAGAAATAATCGTTATTTCTCCTTAAAATAAATTACATTTTTTCGTTCAAAGGAAACATTTGCGGTATAATTGTCAAATTTCGTTCTACAATCATAAGCCGCATTATATTGTATTATAAATTACTTCATATAATATTTACGAACGGAAAAATATGTCCAGGGTAGCCTAGTGGACATGGCATCTGCCCGGTAAGCGGAACACTGTTGGTTCGATTCCCATCCCTGGACACTTTTATTTTGCCGTTTATCATTACTCTTTATAATTCATCCTTTCATACTTCATTCCTAAGTTTAGAAATAATCGTTATTTCTCTTCAAAATAAATTTCGATTTCCCGTTCAAAGGAAACATTTGCGGTATAATGGTCAAATGTCGTTCTACAATTTAGTTATGATAATAGAAAGTTGGTGTCTACACATGTTTTCTAATAAAAATAAATTGCTCCAATAACCCCCGATTCTTGCCAAAAGAGTCCAATCCTCTCAGTGAATACAAGTAACTAAACAAGGTTCAGACACTGCACTTGTAAGTGCAAAAGTCGAATTGCTTTCTACATATGTAAATATGTGGTGTACTTACAGTAATAACAGTCACCTACTTATCATCATCATTATTATATCCTGCACCACGTGTACTTGGGATGATTATAAAAAATTAAGAAGTGGCAATCAAAAATGTTGAGTCTCTATTATAAAGATGATTTACGTTTCTTTGAATTTACACTCATGGACAAAACTTAACTTATACCTTTCAGCATGTATATCGGGGTTCAGATAATAACTCTGAAAGATACACTCATGGACAAAACTTAAGGAAGTTGTACCTTTCAGCATGTATATCGGGGTTCAGATAATAACTCTGAAAGATACACTCATGGACAAAACTTAAGGAAGTTGTACCTTTCAGCATGTATATCGGGGTTCAGATAATAACTCTGAAAGATACACTCATGGACAAAACTTAAGGAAGTTGTACCTTTTAGCATGTATATCGGGATTGGGACAATAACTCTGAAAGATACACTCATGGACAAAACTTAAGGAAGTTGTACCTTTTAGCATGTATAACGGGATTGGGACAATAACTCTGAAATATATTACAGTGACCTTTATTGAAGACACACGAGATAACCAAGTGTGAACCGCCTCTGTCTCCTTTAAAAAAAAATAGAATACTGGCGACATATCAAAAACTTTTCACTTCCTTACGTTTTGTCAATGAGTGTATTTTACACCTTTAAATTTGTATTAAAATAAATTGTAAAAATATTTGAAGATGGTAATCAAAACCTCTCCCTTTCAAAAATTCCATTTATTAAATGCAACAAAAATACATTTTATTCAATATTCTTTGCTCAAAGTGCCTAAATTTAGTTCATTGAATGAACTACACCAACAGTTTTCTTTGGTAAAATTCAATTAACTAAATCAAACTGCATACCAGGCTTTCGAACTATTGTCTTTATCAGTACAAGGGCTGCTGCGATTTCATAACATCCTACCTGAGGAGTTATGGATTCGATCCCATAGTGTTCCGCTTACCGGGAAGATGCCATGTCCACTAGGCTACCCTGGACATATGGTTATGGATTCGATCGAAACTTCCTAAAACAGATAACCCAAATATATGGGGAAAATGTATAATACTACTAATAATAGATAAATAAAAATTAAAATTATAAATATATTTTCCCACAATGAGTTTCTTTTTAAATTTTAAAATGCTGGCTTTCAAGCGATAATCGCTCTTCAACTATGTATTTGTAAATATTTCTTTTTATCGTAAAGATAGAGGCTACCTGGCCGGTATTCATAGTTCTTCAAATAAAAGATACTTCGGTCAGTAAAATACAATAAAAAGATTTACTGGCTGAAGTGTCTTTTATTTGAAGAACTATTTCTTGTAAGATATAGTCGATGTTTTTATTAAGCCCGTTGAAGAACGATTATCACTTGAAAGCTAGCATTTTAAAATAAAAATAAACTCATTGTGGGAAATACAAGGTATGTCCCATAAGTTCCCGGACTGGGTCCATAAAAAAAAGGTAAGATATATATTTTTTAATTATTAAAACTTCTAAAAGTAATCCCCCCTTGCTTCAACGCACCAGCGTCATCGTTTCTCCCAATTGTCGAAACAGTTTTTATAGGCCTCTTTTGGAATGCTCTTCAATGCCAACAGCGATTTTTCTATTATGTCATCCCTGGTGTCAAAATGTCTTCCTTTTAGAACTCCTTTAAGTTTGGGGAACAGGAAAATGTCATTTGGTGCGATGTCTGGGGAATAGGGTGGTTGAGGTAGGATTTCTGTCCCGTTTTTAGCCAAAAATTTGTATTTTAAAACGGTTTTCACAATTTTATCAAGAAAAGAACAATTAGCTTAAGAATTTTACAATACTCTATTTTTAGAGAAATAACTTCGGCAAAATATCTATCTTTATCTCCTGGGAGGTACATCGAGAAAATATTCATCTGTTCTTTCCTGGAGGCATTTTCTTATTAAAGGTCGGATTTTAAGTCTATTTATATATTTTTGTTTGTACCGGAGTGGCCGCTCAAGGAGGTGGACGCATATGGAAATGATCGCTCAAAGAGATGGGTGCTTGAGGAAATGGTCGCTTAAGGAGGTGGATTATTACGGAAATGGTCGCTCAAGGAGGTGGGTGCTTAAGGAAATGGTCGCTCAAGAAGGTGGGCGCATATGTAAATGGTCGCTCAAGGAGTTGGGTGTTCAAGAAAATGGTCGCTCAAGGAGGTGGGTGCTTAATGAAATGGTCGAGAGAGGAGGTGGGTGCTTAAGGAAATGTTCGCTCAAGAAGGTGGGCGCATATGTAAATGGTCGCTCAAGGAGTTGAGTGTTCAAGGAAATGGTCGCTCAAGGAGGTGGGTGCCTATGGAAATGGTTACTTAGGGAGTTGTGCGCAAATCGACATGGTCGCTGCTAAAGGAGGTGGGCGTATATGGAAATGGTCACTCAAGGGGGTGGGCGCTTGGAGATAAATTATTGAAAGTTTCAACTGGAGTATTTACTCCTCCCCCCAGGATATAGAGGGAAGGTTAATTCAATAAAAGCTACAGTGCTCTATTCAGCAATGTATCAACAAGAAGGGAAAAGGCTCCCATCACCAATTATGTACATAACTAACGTTCAACCACCGCAGTTCTAACAATGACGTATTCCCCAACAATGGCAACAATAAGAAGAGAGAGAGGGTCTTTGTTCAACAACGGCAGAACAACAATCCATCACCAAGCTGGGAATGGGGACATTTAATCCATTTCCGGTATCTTCTATGAATATTTCATCAGTTTATTCAAGTTGGCAACACTGTTGATCATGTTAGCAGCCAAGAACTACATTGAATAGAATTCTCTTAGGTCTATCGAGTATGCACTCATAGACAAAACTTAAGGAAATGGAAAGTCTTCGATATCGTCGGCCGTCAGTTTTTTTGGGACAGAGACAATTTTTTAAAGCCTTATTATCTCGTGTGTCTTCAATAAAGGTCACTGTAATATATTTCAGAGTTATTGTCTCAATCCCGATATACATTTTAAAAGGTACAACTTTTTAAAGTTTTGTCCATGAGTGTATCTTTCAGAGTTATTGTCTCAATCCCGATATACATGCTAAAAGGTACAACTTCCTTAAGTTTTGTCCATGAGGGTATCTTTCAGAGTTATTGTCTGAATCCCGATATACATGCTTAAAGGTACAACTTCCTTAAGTTCTGTCCATGAGTGTATCTTTCAGAGTTATTGTCTGGATCCCGATATACATGCTAAAAGGTACAACTTCCTTAATTTTTGTCCATGAGGGTATCTTTCAGAGTTATTGTCTGAATCCCGATATACATGCTTAAAGGTACAACTTCCTTAAGTTCTGTCCATGAGGGTATCTTTCAGAGTTATTGTCTGAATCCCGATATACATGCTTAAAGGTACAACTTCCTTAAGTTCTGTCCATGAGTGTATCTTTCAGAGTTATTGTCTGGATCCCGATATACATGCTAAAAGGTACAACTTCCTTAAGTTGTGTCCATGAGTGTATCTTTCAGAGTTATTGTCTGAATCCCGATATACATGCTAAAAGGTACAACTTCCTTAAGTTTTGTCCATGAGTGTATCTTTCAGAGTTATTGTCTGAATCCCGATATACATGCTGAAAGGTACAACTTCCTTAAGTTTTGTCCATGAGTGCAATTCATTGGCGACAACCTAGCTATGGCTTAAATTTTACATATTTCCTCTTCATGTATTTTGCATACTTTATCTGGGAATATAGAAAAGAAATTTGTAAATTACAAACATAATTTTAACGCTACATTTCTTCTTCAATATATATAATTAAAATTTATTTCTACAGCCCCCTTAACCTATAATGAATAAAATTTGAAAGAGAAAGGATATGGCTCAACAGTGATGAATCCTCTCAGCGGTTTCGCCATTTTAATCTCAAGACCGCTTCATTATTGTATTAAACTCCAAAATAACTTTACTAGGTGCCGCTTAAAAAGAGCAACCTAACTTATGGTATTTTCAATAATGAAATAATATATATGAAGGTTATTCACATAATAAAATAAGGTGTACAATACGGGATTCGATCCTGGTTCATTGGCTGTCGGGAATCGATGGTTTTAACCATTCGTCTACCGACTTCTTGTATTAAACTGAATTTCTTATATACCTCTGAAAAACTTGCTATTGAATACAGTCTTCTCCTTCTTCTTCTTTCTTATCTCCATTTAATCATATTAGGATATCAAGTTGTGACTCTTGATGGTGTCTGTTTGACAACCATCATGACTGGGTGAAGTAGAATGCCTTTGTCATTAAGACTGTATTCACTACTCAGTGGCAGACCACCGACTTAGCTCCAAAAGAAATGGCCGCCTCTGACATGAGTAACAGACGCCATGTGCAGCTGCTCCTAACAT